ATATATAAATATATATATTTATATATATATATATATATACATATATATAAATATCTGTGTATGTATATATACACAGACAAACAAACACAAATATATTTATAAATATATAAATATATATATATACATATATATACATACATACATACATATATATTTATATAAATGTATATATACACACACATATATATGCATATATAATTTATTAATATACATATATGCATATATATATATATATATAATTTATTAATATACATATATTATATATATATATATTAATGAAAGTCTCTAATAATAAGAAAAATAAAATATTTTATTTTAATCAAATCAAAGGTCCATAAAGGTTAAATGTTTCTTTTAATTTTGCTTCATGATAATCTTTAAACGATAGAATAATTTTATACATATTAGGCTATAAAGAGTGGAGGAGAAGATGATCGAAGAATAAAGGCCTTGTTTAAAACATCGCATTAAAAACATCAAAACAATTAAAATAAATCGTATTTTTCTCTGTGATATGAGAATATGGTGTAACAACAGTATCGCTGAAGACAAACACGCTCGTGTCTCCGCTGTGTCCCCCTCCCTGCTGCTGTCCATCCAGGCGATGCTCAGCTGGAGCAGCCAGATGTGTCGCCCTCTGCTGGCCGCCGGCAGAACTGCATCTCGCTGTTACTTCATCTCCTTAAACTCGCAAATAAACAACAGGAAAACCTGCTCCGTTTTGTTTTCCGTTATGGTCTTCTGTTCTGTTAAAATAAATCTGCATCAGCCCCCATGCTGACCCCCCCACCACCACTTCCTCCTCCTGCTTTCTTTGCTCCAGCTCTTCCATCAGCATGGGGTCAATTACCCCCGCCTCCCTCTATATTGGATTATCTGAGCAGCATTATGAGCTGGACACCATCAATAGAATATAATCGATGGTGGGGTTCTTTTTGTTGTTGTTTTGTAACCTGCCCCCCCACCACCACCACCTTCATTCATCAACTCTCGCTCAGGTCAGTTGTGTGACATCAGACATTCATTC